GGGCTCTTACCTTCTGCCCAGCGAGACAGTCGGCGACGTTTACGTTCGCCGCGTGCGCATGAAAGATACAACTCGAAGAGATAGAGGAGAACCAACCTAGGTGGACAGAAAAGGGCGGGCGTCTCTAATTTGCGAATATCTTCTTCGACTACGCACAGACAAGATTTCTACGTCTCGCGTGTTCCCTCCGCGACGTAACACACCTAATCGAACCTCTTTAAAAGAACGTTAAACGCCCGTTTCGCTCGAGGTTCTCTGCCGCCCCGTCGCGAATACGCAACGATAAATGTGCTCCCCTTACTTCCCCCTTCGATGACAGGACGCAATTAAAAGGAGCTATTTCGACGGAGTCCTCTGTCAGGATTAAGCTCTCCCCTACTTCTCCGTGTTGGCCGTGCACGATAATGGAATACGTATATTTCATCGGGTCGGAGAAGAACAGAGTCGTTGTATCGAAGAGAGAGAACCTTTCCCAGGGAATCCATTATTACAAAAATAACCTTTATCTCTTCCGTGCTCCGACAATGGGTTATACTTCCATGGGCTCGAAGAGGAGCGCGCCTGTAATCCTCTTTGTCACGGAAGACGGTCGTCGTTCGCAAATTGCCTCGGTTGCGTCTGTGGGGCGGGGGGGGGGGGGGGGGGGGGGGGGGGGGGGGGGGGGGGGGATGGAAGAGGACCCAGTCGTCGTACATGGCTGACACCGATACGTCGCGATGTTCCCACTCTCTCGCAGAATGCACGAGGAAAACAGAGGCATAAAAATATTTCGCGATACACACGGCGACACAAAAGAAACGGGGGGGTGGCGGCGGCGGCGACGCATGATGCCAGCCAGAACGTCGTCGGTGGGCGCTGGTAACGGCTCCCTAATTTTCTGGGACTGCAATATTTAATGCCTGTTCCCCCCCCCCCCCCCATCCCCTCTGTGTGATCCCTGGCAGCGGCTCGCCCTCTATGGCTCCATTTCTCCGGCGGGAGGGTGGAAAATTATCGTGGCGCCGCCGTTCCGACATCGAAAGCGGGGAGACGCGCGAAATCCCCCGAAAACCGCGTCGTCCCTCTTTCACTCGTGGCGGGAAAGTTTCCTCTCGGTCGACTGCTGGACCGACTAATCGGGCGCGTCGACCGCGGTGACGGCTAATTAACGTTCCCGGATATGAACCGTGCCGACGGGAATTAATACATCTACGGGACCAACCCTCTTACAGTTTTTTTTTTTGTTTTTTTTGTTGGCGAGGACCACACCAACCACCCTCCTCGTCCGGTCGTTGTATCCGCGGTTTTACGAGCTGACGGGGGGGTATAAATGGTTGTCGGTGATTAGGGAAATGATCATCGTCCTGGTAATTAGAGAAAGAACACGGAGTTCTCGTTCCAGTTAACGAACCCCTTTACCGAGCCGTTGACACACGGAAGATGCTCCCACGTTCGCGAACGTTTAACGAGCGTCGCGTTCCACGGTCGCGGTTAAGTCGTGGGTGAGATTACGTGTTAACGATCTGAAACGATCCAGTCGACCGGCAGCCAGTCCGCGTACTCTTTTTTTTTTTTTTTTTTTTGGAAAATCAGGTTAGGTACGAGCAGAGTTGGGCAGAATTTTATTCGAGTTATAAACAATGGGAAGCAGCAGTATCTGAGGACGTCGTCCTGAGCTTTAAACAGTTAATGAGATTGAATAATTGTTCGACGAATAACGATTCATTCATGAAGAAGTATTATTTTATTACGAGAATATTTTATTATGAGGAAACGTTCAGGAAGATCGAATCAGAGAACTGTGAATAGTTCCTAGAAATGATTCTAATTTTTGCTGTCCTTTTGAGATAGTACTGATACTGGTTCTCTTTTATCGAACCCCCGAGAAGTTTGATCGTAACGTCCCAAGGTTAGCTGAATCATCCGAACAGCCTCACTCCCAAACCAGACGTGTTTATTTTTCATGAATCTCACTCGACTCGTCCGATCTGTGTACCCACTCTCCTCTCGTCCGACATTAATTTTCACTTTTTGACAATAGCCACGCTCAACATTTGCCATATCCGCCAGTAACGTCGCCCCAGATAGGGCGCGATTTACGACCGACAACCCTCAGTACTAAACCCCGCACATCGGAGCCGTTGCTCGGCTCCCCTTCCCCCTTCGCCGTTTCACGTAGACTGTTGTTATAGCGACGTTAAACTAGCCAGACAATGACGCAGCTTTACGATTCCAGGGGCAGTCATTGGCCGGGCCATCCAGGGGTCGAAATATAATGAATCCGCGTGGCTCTCTCGTTAATAATCCGCGCCGATAAATCCCGTCGACGACGCGATCGCGACTCCGAGACCCTATTATCCTTGTACTCCGTTTACGCATACCCACCTAACAACAGTATTGTTCTCCCTACGTCGGTAACCCGTTCGTTTTAATGCTACGTCGTCGTACCTACTAGAGATCATGAAGAAACGATAGCAAGGTACCCGAGAATGTTTATTTTCCCGAGACGTAGACAACAACATACGCAAACTGGTTAACAGAGTTCACCAGCGCGTCCACCCGAGGGTTAACCATGTTTCTGTTCGAAAATAAGTAACTGTATCCTAAAAATTGAAACGAATCAAAATGTAGATAATACGCGTTATTTAAATACATATGAAATAGTATACTTGTACCAGTGTATTTAAAATGACACGTTACTGGCGTACGTGTACGTAAAATGCACGTGTATTTAAATACACGTGAAATAGTAATTTCTCTAGTACCTACCCACAATCCTGGCGCGATTAAATGCAATCCCCTGCGGTCCCGTTACATTTTTCTCGAACCAGGGAAAACAATTCCGCCCGGTTCATCGTCCTCAGAAAGAAATAGAAGAAGAATAATAACCACACTGTTGTGTTGTACCATTTGCGATTCTACGGTAGTCTTCATTAGTCTCCAGACGGTCCTCGAAGAACGGGCGGGATGCAAATTCTCGAGGACTTTAATACACGTTAACGTGCTCTCGTTGACGGTCTCCCCGGCAATTAACCCGCCACGAGGTTTCTTCCGTTTCGCGGGTTATCGCTCGTCACGGTTAATTAGATCGTTACCCCCGTGGCGAATCACGTCCGTAGTGTTCGAAACGAAGCGGAGCGACAAGCTCGTGGACACGGAAATGACCGTCATTCGGCTGGTCCCCGATGCATGATATCTCTCCACGGGACATAATTTCTTCTTTTTTTTTTATTATTCACCTTCCGTCATCCAGAGTTTCATTTTTAGGCCTGGAACAGGGCCAACCGTGGCTCCTTCTTATTGCGTTTCATTTGGAACCAGGAGGGATGGAGGGGATCGCATCGCAAGGGTGCAATTTGCATCGTTGTGGGACGACGAACGTGCAAGTTCCTCTCAGGGGGGAGGGGGTAGGTACAACCAACCGTGAACAGACGGTCCATTCAACGTCCGATTGTCACACGGAACAAAAATAGACCAACAGGCGTGTCGTCGAAGTTGAAACACGACCGGTAGCCCCGTTGAATTGCATAATAACAACGGGAGTCGGTGTTGAGCGATGCTAATAGTGGGGAAACTTTCGTGGAACTGTATCGCGCGCGAAACTCTGTCTGACTCGCTCATTCCGTGGCCTAGGGAGAAAAAAAGTAACTCCCTCTCGCCCTCGTTCACCCCATCTCGTTCGAGGAATATGATAGTTCTTCACCGTTTTTGGTATATAAGGTAAATTCCAAATTATTACCACTTTATTTATTTCACTGTATCAAAATGTAAGATGTAAAGATTCGTGTATAACTAATTTTAATATTTAATTGGGACTTTAATTTACACAAGACAACGAAATACATGTACTTGTATTTATGTGGTATTTAAGAATTAATGAAAGTGCAATTTGAGCGTCAGAAACGCGACTATGTAAGCAGGAAGTGATGGCGAAATTATACTGAAGAAAGAACCATCATTTTACTATTCAACTTATTATACAGGGTGTCCCGTAACTGGTGGTACAACCGGGTAGAGGGTGATTCTACGTGAATAAATAAGTCGAAAATATGAAATAACATTTTTTCATTTGAGATTTAGTTTTCGAGGAAAATCTGCTGGATACGCGTGCGATTGAATTAGACTTGGCTACCGCGTCTGTTCATTGCATTCAGTTTCTACTTACTGCCGTGACGAATACACGCATTACAAATGAATCGTTAAATTCGATTTCCTCGAAAACTAAGCCTCGAATGAATAAATGTTATTCCGTATTTTCTGTATATTATACAAAATCAATTGTTAAAGTACATAAATATTACTTTAATTTTTGAGGTGACAGTTTTTGAATATTTTACACTGGGATTATTCGGAGATTTTATTTAATTCTTCATATTTAATATATAAATCAATTTTTCTTAATGACACAGATGTTAAATAACATTATGTTCCAAACTGAATTAATTTTTAAGTTAAACAAAACAAGAAATGATTAAATGAAGTTACTCTACAATCTTAAGGTGTCAGTAATAGGAACATCTACTCTAGGGCCCGATTCCTCCGCATCACTTTACAGGCGGCGTTCTGTTTGGCGTCCATTCGAACGCGCTTGTTAAATTACCATCCCGTAGTTTTCCTTTTTCCGAACTATAATTCACGGAACGTCGGAGATCGCTAATTGCATTCGCGGGATAATTGAAACGAAAGCGTCGACCGGCTCTCTTGGTGGTTCGTTGCCCGCGCGTGTGTTTCGGCGCTGATTACGCAAAACGGCGAGGGTCATCAATCTCGAGGTAACGCCGCACCGTGGGGCTAGGAACTTTTATTTCCCGCCAGTTCTAATGGAACCCTTCGTACAGAAGGAGAAACTCCGAACGGTACCCACCGGATCGCCGCGGAGTGTTTTATTGTTCGCATTCCAGGGCAACGTTTAAGTGCACAGAACGATCTCGTGTTTCGTGGCTTCCGCCGTCGCGCCCAACCCCTCCCCCCTCGTCATCCCCCGCCACGCTGACCATTCTTTTTCCTTTTTCTCGTTCCAGGGACCTGAGACCAGCCAGCTTGGAGAAGGGCCAAGAGACCCTCAGACTGCGAGTTTACGCCGGCTACGCTTGGGGTGGGCCTCTGTTGGTCGCCGGCGTGGCCGCTCTTCTGGATCATCTTCCGTCTCAACCTCAGTACACGTTCCTACGGCCACGATTCGGCGAGAAGCACTGTTGGTTCTACGGTAAGTTCCCTTTACCTAGCTTCCTTCGTTCGCATGAAATCCTGCTACTGCTCGGGCCCATCCAGAGGCCTCTCGCGAACCTTTGAAGCTCGTCACGGAAATGTTTTCCTCGTCGAAAGGAGTCACGGAGGTCTGAAGGAGGCTCGAACGGTATTCAAACGACCGTATTCGTGGGAAACGCGGTTCGAAATGGTAGATCAGAGAATTCGTTGAACGTTTAAGTAGAACAACGTGTTACGGTGTAGATTGTTATTTCTTGCAACGAGTCGTAAGAATTTTCAACGTCGAATTAATATAGTACAAATAGATCAAATAATATATTAACAATTATCTTCGTTGTTAGAAATCTTCATGGTTGTGATATAAATATATTACAGTTACCATAACCTGAGAATACAATAAAAAACAAAAATAGGGAGCATAATACGCTGTTGTTGAAGAGGAAACGAAAGAACTTTCAATTATTCCGCGATAAAAATTTGAATATCAATTCGATCGGAGATTGACAAAGGAGGCGTCGAATTTCGGGTACTGTAAGGAAATATTTCGCGGGATGAATTGGATCGCGGGTACAGGAAGAGACTCCCGCGGTAATTAATTCTCGCTCGAGCACGAGCGCCGGGAATTAATTCGATCGCGTCACACGCGACTTATCAGTGAATTAATTCCCCTCCCCCTTCGCCGTTCTCGTTGTCGGGACGTGGATCTCTGGTATTCCGTTGTAGGGAACGCGACATTCAGGCCGGACTTGCTGACATTAGTAACGGATCAGTTCCACAGACGGTAATGGAGCCTATTACCGAAAGTAATACACGCCGGTACGAGGACGGTTAACACGTAATTCCCTGTGATCCGATTATTCCGCTAATTAATAGGACCGGTCAGTCGTGTGTTCGCGGCGCTGATTAAATCGCTTTCGTTAATCGATCGATCGACGGCAGAGCTGCGGATTAGTTTCGGATCGAGCCCAAATCCGATATAGCTCACATTAGTCCCTCGATAAAAAGTCTTTTCTACCTGGAAAATTCTCTCGAAGAAACAGTATCAAGAATAGAAAAGAAGATCGATGAAACATAAAAAGGAAAATAACCAGAGTTCTTTATTCACCGAGCCATAGTGGGCGTGTGATTAAATCACCGCGACGACGAAACAGGAAAAATGAACATAAACCTCGAGCCCCCCAAAGAGCTAATAGCGAATATTTCGGTAAGAGGATTACGCTGCTCCCAAAATATATCCTATTACAGTGTGTACCATCGTTTCCACCTTCGCCCACCTTCTCCCCGTTCGTCCGTGGCATCCTTAATTTTTGGATTATATATACACGGGGGTAATCAGTCGAGATAAGAAACAATGGCACGCGGCTATCAGTATCCGCCTAGTGGCAGGCGGTTGCGAATACTTCCCTAAGAGGATTACACACCGGTCCCCGAAAGATTGTATTTAAGTATGACGCAGAGGGTGGCCAAATAAGAAGATCGATACACCACCCCCGATGGGGTACGACCTAACCCCCCTTCGTAATGCCTACGAATCCCTAATAATAACCGGTGCAACCCCGGTGGCTCGTACACCGTACATACGTGTGTGTACACCGAATGGGGATAATAAGGAGCTGAACGGTAATGTCGTGTCTTTATTCGTGGTCTCGAGGCTCCCACGGTATATACGATTGCAGGCTATTTAACGAGCAACCCCCCGTAATCCGCATCCAGTGCACTCTGTAATCCGGCTGGCATACTCTTCTCTCCGGATCGTTTCCTCCCTCTGTCTCTCTTCCGTCCCTTACAACCCCCCCCCCCCGATGGCTCTGAACTCTCTCCAATCCCCGCGTAAATACTCGTTTCAAACAGTCGGGCAACTCGTGTATTAATTTCCCGCGGTCGCGATATTTATCGATGCCCAGCCGTGTAGCACACTCGACCGGCGAATTAATGTTTAGCTTTTATATCCTTTGACAAATACAAACGCTCGTGTCCAGGTCCGGACTATCTCCCTCTCCCTCTGTGTATTTTATTTTCAGTTTCCGGGCGACCAGCGAGTGGAGGAGGGGAGAGTACCCTGGTTTTCGGTCCGGTTTCGTTCGGAAAACCTCCCACTCGCCGTTTATTGATCGTCCACCGCGATTTTATTGGCCCAACCGCGTGTTACGCGGGATTCGGTGCGGGGAGGGGGGGAGATGTAAACGTCGGCCACGGGAAGTAATTGGAATTCTTGGAGTTATGTCGGTACATTTACACGGGTTTTGATCAAGGACCCGGTGTACCTGGTCCGGTTCAATCACGAATAACTTCCGGTTCGAATACACTACCGGTCTGATAATTAAAGAACAAGAAAAATTATTATTCTGTAAAGATTTGAGGAGAATTCATGTGCTAAGTCTGCTTGAACATGATTTGTATCTATTTATTTATATATTTATATATTACAATATTTTATTACATTTATATATTTATTAATTTTGTTTATATCGTAACAGAATAACGAGTAACTGTTCCATCGATCATAGACCTGTAGTGTACATCTGAATCTATTTAATAATTCTCGTTGAAATTTCATCCAAAATCTTGGATTCTAACAAAATTGAGGACATCTCTGGCGGTTCCATCTCGTTTCCAACTTAAAAATAGTCGCAGCGAATCCCTGAATTTCTCCTTCCTCTTCCTTTGACAATTCCCTAAAAGTCCTCGCCGCAAAGTGCAAAATTCGCTCGACCGTCGAAGCTGCTTGTTAAGGGGACGATAGGAAATACGTCGATCGCGCGTCCAGGTTGTACGACTGTCAGGATCTGTCCTCTGCATCGCGTACGGTGTCCGTCGTATCGCGTAATCGCATCGGAGGAGGCCTAACTGGGTGTTAGATTCACGGCACCCGAACGTGTCAATCCGTTCGCCCAGGGCCGGCACGGTAAACCTCCGTTTTTTCGCGCGAATAAACGCTAAGCCGGACAAAGGAAGGAGCCTGGGATAGCTGGGGATGAGTGGTGGGATGGGAAGGGGAGTAACGCGTAGGAAATAGAGTCGCAGCCTCGACGCTAAATCAGGATAATGGTGCCCCATGGGAAGCCACGTCGCACTATCGCGAGTTGTTACGTACTGACACAATGCTTTTGCACGGCAACGGATGAGGGGGTTCAGAGGGACAGGGCCTGTTCTGCAACGGACGTTACCCCGTTTCTCAACCCCTTTCACTCTCTGTCTTTCTCCGTCTTTCCGCTTCCATTCCCCTCAGCACCGTGCCTTTTTTCTTTTCGTTTTAACTATTGGATTCCTCGTGATCCGTCTCTCCTTTGCGTCGTTTTTCCGCGAACGGAATCGCGATACGTACAGAGGAATATCGACAGATTCAATTTTACAAACAGGGTAAACCCTGGTCTCATCACGACTTGTATAATTTTTACGCTGTCCTGACAAACACGATCTCACTCTCGCTGCGTTTCATCTCCTCCCTCGCTCCTCTGTTCGCTACCCTTTCCCTGGCGGCCTCCACCACTTCACATCCCTTCGAGGGCTGTCATTCGGGCACACCCCGTAACAACGTGGGCCGAGACGATGGGGTCGAGAGATAAACCCCTGGCGCCAGCCGGTCCCAACCCCTACGCGCCTAACCGGTGAAACTTCCGTGTCCCCCTTTTCAACCCCCTCTGCAATGGTACCCCGTCTAAAAAGCACCGACAGGTAATACCCGTCCGGGTAAGCGAATAGTCTCCGGGGGTGTGGGGATGTAACGTTCGTGTGCGCCTCGTTTGAATGCATAAACAGGGAACACAACAACTTCCTACGGAGCGGCACGCGTCTTTAATTTCTCGTCTGGGGATGGGATTGCCATCTATCTACCAATTCAGGGAAAACAAGGATAGGGACAAAAATTCTGTCAGTCCAATGCAAATAGAAATAGTGGAAGGGAAGAGAAAAGGGGAACAGTGACGGAGGGGTGCACGGTTGTTTCTCACCCTCTTCGAAGACGAAACGACCTCACGAAGGGTGAATAAAGGGGTGTGGTGTCGGGGGGACGTAAGAAAACTCATTTACCAGCACATCGGCGCTATTCGTGTTCCGAAACCTGGTATTCAGGCCTCCCCTAACCGATGCACTGGCATTCTGGCGTTCCGGTGTTCTGGCGCGCCCCCATAACAACGTAGGCCGAAACGATGGGGTAGAGAGATAAATCTGGTGCCAGCCAGTCCCAACCCCGGCCGTGCGAAACCGACGGAACTCTCTCCTGGCTTCCCCTTTCTCTCTCTCTGTTGGTCTCTAAGCCCACTAACTACCATGCGGCCCACTAAACTGCACCCGTAAACGCACACAGACCTGTTTAAGTAGCTCCAGGACGAGCCCCCTCCTTCCTTTGTGCTGATACGTGTTATTACTGCACCTGCACGAGAGCGTCGAACTGTTCGTCTTTTGCGCTCCTCTTACCTGGTTCGAGAAAAAAAGTTGCCAGTTCAGGCTTGTTCCGCGAGTACGCAATCTTCCGACGGGAAATCGGTCTCGTTTCAGAGATTCCCGACGGGCAACAGGATCGCCGATACGCGACGATTTCAGGTGAAATTACGGTGAATCGTTTTGCACTAGAAGAAACGAAGCTCTGTTACGTGTTATACGAGATTTATGGCTCGATTGATCCACGGCCAGCTGGGAAGGAGCTTCTTGCTCGAGACTCCAGAAGATCTTACCGACTAGATAGCAGAGGTTTGATTAGACGTCGACAAGATGGAGGAGATCTAACTTCGAATCCCGTAGTTCGACCGACCCTCGTATCCCTTCGTAGTTTCAATATTCAGTGTCTATGTCTGGATCACTTAAGAAGATTCTCCTTTCAACGGATGATACCGAAATTCTTTCAGCAGTTTATGAATAATCAACCGTGCTCCTTGGAAAGTAGCTACGCGATACTAAACCACCGTGACTAAAAGAAAGAAGTAACCAGCGTACAATGAAAAGGACCTCGTTTCGGCGACGACGAACGGAATATTCAACTAACGTTCGCATACATTAGAA